CGATGCTCACACCTAGGGATATTCTACGCGCGTTTTAGCGGGAGAACAAAAGCATCAGAAAACAAGAAACTGAGTATACAYCTTTGTTCGTATTTTATACACCCTTTTAACAAGTCGCGAGGTGTTGCGTTTTCCGCACTTGACGTCAAATTTATTCTTTTGCAATTTTTTTCAAWACAAAAGGAATTCAAAAGAATAAACCTGGACGTCAAGTGCGGAGAACACAATATCTCAGGACTTATTAAAAGGGTGTATATGAGAATCATGGTTATAATTATGATAACAGATTCTCCTTTCGCAAAGCCCTTACGGTATAATATGAGTAAAAAGATTGACAGGTTTTTTCCACTCAACTTTCGTTGTCAAGATTATGTAAGAGTTGCTATAGATCCACATCTAACTTACTTTTTTCTGATCGATCCACGCAGCGTCCCAAACCTGTTCTTCAAAAATGGTTCTAGTTGGTTTACGAGCTGATGATAATTTCTCTCTAGTTCTTTTTGGTAAGCTCGCTGGTCAGTTTTAATGAGAGATTTGTTCAGATGAAGTGCATCGCCGCATCTAAAAAAACAAGTAACACAACGATGAGTAACCGTCCACAGGTAGCCCAAACTCTATAGTTAGGCTCACATATATGTGAAGAACCTTCGTAAGTGCTTATCACAAAATACTTATGCATTAAAGCCCGCTAAAGTTGAAATATATTGATATATCTATATAAGTTAGCGGCAAGAATTTCTTCAAATGATTGTGTAAACTTTTAGGAGCTCAAAAAAACACGTCTGATCGTTTTCAAAGAGAGAGTTAGGYCCCAGACTTGATAATACCTTTTCATGAATTCTTTAAAAGCTAATCTTAATTTGTGGTGATGTCGACTACAGTCAAGTGGTTGAATATCTTGGTCTTCGTCGCCATCTTCCTCCGCGTACAGAAAGACGTTGGCAATCTCTAGTGGCCCCTGTGAAAAAATAAAGAAGTTTAGCATGTCCGTAATAAAGTGCTCACACYTTGTCTGTGGAAAGACACTTGAAACAAMGTTCGAACTAAATATTTCCGCATTTGRTTCCTTAAAAACATTATAAATATGACAAATTCTAATATTTTTTGATAATCTTTTTTTTATCTTATAGCAAAGTTGTGCTGATGCCTGAAAGTATAACCAGGTAAAAAGGCGGAAAAATATTCAAATACGTTGTTGACGCGCGCGCRCCGAGCTATTTCGATTGTATTATYAGTAAATCAATCAATCAGTGCGAATGTACTCCTGTTATTGATGTTAGTGACAGCTAAACCAGTCAAACCTGATTGACAGTAGTTCCTATCGATCCCTGAAGAACCATTTGTAACATCTTGGCATCTGGTGGCTTTTGCTTTATGGCGTTAACAAGTTCGTTGCTTCTCATCTGCATGTCTTCGATAGCAACTTCAATTGGACTTAACACTATCTGTAATCATTAGAGTGKATTCATTAGAGTTAAGTCAAAAACCCAGTGCGATAGATATTACACTAACACACCTTAGTACGCTCTCATTGCATTGTTTTTGTGTCTATTTGACTATCGCGATTTAATAGCAAAATTTGGTTTCACGGGTTTAAGGACCTCACTCTGTACCCGTAAAACAAATCTTGACTATTAAAGGGTAATTGTCAAATWGACGCAAAAGGAAATTATGCAATTAGAGCTTACTTAGGTGTATTTTATAGTGTAATATCTACTAAACGGTTTTTTGGGGCTTCACTCTAACGCGGAATCAATAGACCGAATAGTCTAACGCGTTGCTGTAAACGTTTCCACCCAATTCAAACAACCCGGGAGTAAGTTTCATTGTTCGATGTATTTTCATTTCACAGTTGAATTCTTAGAAACAAAAGCTGTTTTTCCCGCAGGATTTGAATTGGGTGGTAACGTACATAGCAACGCGTTAATAGGCTCAGTCTCCAGCCGTCGGGATTTCGTGCGCCCGCGATACTCTCTCCCCTGACGGCTGGGCGCATGGGGTTCGAAACGTGTCGCGCATGTCCGTGACGTTTTAGTGTAATTAGCATATTATGACGTAACGGAAGTGAATTTTTCAGTGAACGGAAGTGAAATATCTGACAACAGCCGTAAAGGTTTTGCTACAAGGCGGGAAATTATGTGAAATGAAAACTTCGCGAAGTAGCGATATAATGTAATAGTTAGCGCTTTAAAAAAGAGAAAGGAATGGAAATTACCCCAAGTAAAACATGTGCAGGGTTTAATAATCCAAATGGATGTATTATCTGCCAGAAAAACGAGCAAAATACACTAGTGGCGCTGTTTGAAAAATAAGAGATTTGCCCGAGCCAGTATAGGAAGAATAACAAGGACATCTTTTCCAAGAACAATCTCTTTAAGAGCCTTTTGCTGTATTTCTCTAAATTCGTCCAAGCTAAACGACTTCAGAGCCTTCAAACAAGCACTTTCAAAGAGAATCTCAAACGACGAATTGTACGCCATTTTGTTACACTGCTGCCTGCTAATTTATTAATGATATGCCCCT